CTGTACTGTTATTGAATGTATCTTTAACCTCCTCCATGAGATTGTTTGGCTCTGACCATCTCCACGAGCATGTCACGACCATGTGGGATTTACCATATTGAAACCATTAGAAAGCTCTGCACTTGCATTACTTCCTTGTTCTGAAGTGGAAAACAGAAGTTTGGTGAGAGGGTCAGGGGTCACAGCTCTTAACAGTGAGGGTCATCATGGATTACAATCTGTTTCTGTTCTCAATAGAGGATCTTTCTTTCTCTCTCTATCTGCGTCTGCTAGCTCGCTATCGAGAGATATATCTATCGAGCTATATAGAGCGAGATAGCGGATATTAGGCGAGGGATAGCTATAGCTAGGCTCGCTCTAGCTAGAGTCGTCTCTCTTATCTCTCGCTATCTCTCTCGCTTCTCTCTCTCTAGCGGCTCTCCTATCTCTCTCTCTATCTTCTCTCGTCTCTCTCTCTCTCCTCTCTCTCTCTCTCTCCAGAGCCATCACTGAAAGACAAAGTGCTTACGTGAGTGTGTTGACAAGCAGTTTACTAATGGGGATGGTAATGGTGGCAAATCATTCCTCTACAGAACTGCACTCCCTCTGTGTGAGCGTGTGTGTGAGAGCTGAGTTGTTTGTTAAATTATTTGATGTGTGTGTCCACAGGAAGGTAAGCCTAAAGAAGTATCCCCCTCCCTTCTCTTTCAGTGGCTGTATGAAGTATAGGACCTGCATCACACAGGAGAACATCTCTGTTGATTACAGTTTCTCACTTTCTTTCTTTCTCCCTCTCTTGCTCTCTGATGTCGATCTGACAATGTGTTTGAATATAAAACTACCGCTAATTTTCACTTGGAACTTAACCCCCTAAACTGTTCATTGGACGCTGCACTGCAGCTGCCCTCTGCTCCAACCTCTCCAACCGTGTGTATATATATATCAAGGGGTTGGCTAAAAAGCAGAACACAAATTTCCATCTCATGTGGACAAACAAAGTTGATCTTAGACATACATAGCATAACCTTTGTGTCACTGTAGGGTGATGCAGAGTAATGGAGGAGCGTGTGTTTTAAAGTACGGCCCTGGTAAGATGAAGCATATCAGTTATTTCAAAGTTTCTAATGCTCTGTCTCTCACTCACATCTCACCACACAAAACTCAAACAACCCACTCTCTCTTCCGGCCCACGTCAAACAGAGTTAACACAGACAGGGGAGTTGATTTGAACTTTGTTGCAATACTACATTTTGCATTTATCATAATAGAAAATAAAATTATAAATCTAACCACTATTCAACTGACACACTTTGGCATCTCTGGATGAAGAACAAATGGTGGGTTAGGGTGTCTCTATTGATAGTGGAAAACACAGAGAAGTGTGAGACTCAGGGGTTGGTTGTGGGGGGAAGAGTACTGATGACGAAAAGGAGAATGGTGCCTTGCCTGCTCGTCGACAAGCTAAGCACAGAAAGCCACAGATCTGCATTCTTATAAGCTGGAGGGAACATTCCTCTAAAGGCTCATTTTAGGTCCATTTGATCATTTATACATCAGATTCGTTGCCTTTGTTTGTCCCACGTACAGTATCTGTCTCTCAGATATGTGTTTCCGTACCAGTTCTGATTTGGTATCAAGTGTATTTGTTAATGACAGATAACGCTAATTTGTAAATAAAGGTGTGACTGTGTGTGGGTAAAGTAATTAACATATTGAGGATACTTTGTTGAAGTCTTGGTTCCTTGTATGTGTTGTTGAAATTTGTATTGCTAATATTTCCCTATTGACTGGCTATCTTCTTCTAAGATCTTTTGGCCTTTCCCCTGTGCGTGACAGAACAGAGATCGACCAGCTCATTACATGTACAGAACTCCATGGAACACTGGATCTATATTAGTGATGATCAGGGTTAATATGTTCACAGTAGGCAGATCATCAGTTTGCTCTGACGAAGGAGATGGTCTCTGATATACAGCTACTTTGCTTGGAAAATATTGCACTACGTCACCAATACATTTACATACTCATGGTCTATCCCGATACCATATGATGTATTTTCATCTGCGTATTTCCCCCTTCCCACTGCTGTTTTCTGTGAAACCCATAGCAATCAGGAAATTGATTGAAACTGACGGAGGTGTTGTGAGAGTTTCAAATAACCATTTAAGACATTCAAAATAAAATGTAGGTTTTTCTTTATCTGTGGTTGAGCTCGTGTCGGAGTGATATTCCTGTGATGGTGAGAGTTTAAGGCGGTGTGTTTACCATAACAGGTGACACAGACCTGTGGGTTGAGAGCAGGGCATGGTGCCATGGGTGATATACCAGTAGGAGGAGGTTTGTAACTCTACTTCCTTTTTAGAGCAGACAATAGCTCCTCACCCTCATGGCTGCTGTACAGGTCACATATAGGGCCTATAGGTGTACCAACAGGGCTATGGTTCACAGTATGTGGAAAAAAGTGTGAGAGAAATGAAATTCCATGTGTTTGATACATGTGAAATGACAGTTAATATTCAGCATGTGAGGACTACGTTGATTCTGGTAATGTCAGTGTCTTTTTGGGGGGTCATACTTAGTGAGAAAGTGCAAATACCTGTACTCTATTCTGATCTGTTCTATTTCAATTAAACTAGGATATCATGTATAAATGGTATTGCATGAAACCGTATGTTGGTTAATGAATATAGTTGGAGTTGACTGCTTGTCATTTGATAAGGTCTTCCCCTGATAAAAACGTTATTAGTAGTGTTAGAGACTTAGGGGGAGACTGAAAGAGGAAGTGGCTATCTATTTTGCCCCCTGTGTATCCGCTAATCTAGTTGAGAATCTAGTTTGGGAAACCGATAACCTAATTCAGAATTTCCCCAGTATCAAATTGTTTTGCATGTGGGAATCCCTTCTGTATCTCTGTGTTATGCTATGTCATGCTGGAGGACATTTATTTTGCTGTCCCTCTCTGTCCTTTTTCATCGTTTTCACTGACTCATACTTTCTCTCTGCTGTATGTTATACAGAGATTGAGTGCTACTTAGCATAGTGTACAGTTGAAGTTGGAAGTTTACATACACTTAGGTTGGAGTCATTAAAACTCGCTTTTCAACAACTCCACAAATTTCTTGTTAACAGAATATAGTTTTGGCAAGTTGGTTAGGACATCTACTTTGTGCATGACACAAGTGTTTTTTCCAACAATTGTTTACAGACAGATTATTTCACTTATAATTCACTGTATCACAATTCCAGTGGGTCAGAAGTCAACATACACTAAGTTGACTGTGCCTTTAAACAGCTTGGAAAATTACAGAAAATGATGTCATGGCTTTAGAAGCTTCTGATAGGCTAATTGACATCATTTGAGTCAATTGGAAGTGTACCTATGGATGAATTCCAAGGCCTACCTTCAAACTCAGAGCCTCTTTGCTTGACATCATGGGAAAATCAAACGAAATCAGCCAACACCTCAGAACAAAAATTGTAGATCTCCACAAGTCTGGTTCATCCTTGGGAGCAATTTCCAAATGCCTGAAGGTACCACGTTCATCTGTACAAATAATAGTATGCAAGTATAAACACCATGGGACCACACAGCCGTCATACCACTCAGGAAGGAGATGCATTCTGTCTCCTAGAGATTAACGTACTTTGGTGCGAAAAGTGCAAATCAATCCCAGAACAACAGCAAAGGACCTTGTGAAGATGCTGGAGGAAACAGGTACAAAAGTATCTATATCCACAGTAAATCGAGTCCTATATCGACATAACCTGAAAGGTTGCTCAGCAATGAAGAAGCCACTGCTCCAAAACCGCCATAAAAAAGCCAGACTACGGTTTGCAACTGCACATGGGGACAAAGATCGTACTTTTTGGAGAAATGTCCTCTGGTCTGATGAAACAAAAATAGAACTGTTTGTCCATAATGACCATCGTTATGTTTGGTGGAAAAAGGGGGTAACTTGCAAGCCGAAGAACACCATCCCAACCGTAAAGCACGGGGTGGCAGCATCATGCTGTGGGGGTGCTTTGCTGCAGGAGGGACTGGGGCACTTCACAAAATAGATGGCATCATGAGGAAGGAAAATGATGTGGATATATTGAAGCAACATCTCAAGACATCAGTCAGGAAGTTAAAGCTTGGTCGCAAATGGGTCTTCCAAATGGACAATGACCCCAAGCATACTTCCAAAGTTGTGGAAAATGGCTTAAGGACAACAAAGTCAATGTATTGGAGTGGCCATCACAAAGCCCTGACCTCAGTCCTATAGAAAACTTGTGGGTAGAACTGAAAAGGTATGTGCGAGCAAGGAGGCCTACAAACCTGACTCAGTTATACCAGCTCTGTCAGGAGGAATGGGCCAAAAGTCACCCAACTTATTGTGGGAATCTTGTGGAAGGCTACTCGAAATGTTTGACCCAAGTTGAACAATTTAAAGGCAATGCTACCAAATACTAATTGAGTGTATGTCAACTTCTGACCCACTGGGAATGTGATTAAAGAAAGAAAAGCTGAAATAAATCATTCTCGCTACTATTATTCTGACATTTCACAATAAAGTGGTGATCCTAACTGACCTAAGACAGGGAATTTTTACTAGGATTAAATTTACATTTTAGTCATTTAGCAGACACTCTTATCCAGAGCGACTTACAGGAGCAATTAGGGTTAAGTGCCTTGCTCAAGGGAACATCGACAGATTTTTCACCTTGTCGGCTCGGGGATTAGAACTAGCGACCTTTCGGTTACTGGCACAACGCTCCTAACCACTAAGCTACCTGCTTAGTGGTTAAGAGGAATTGTGAAAAACAGGAATTGTGAAAAACTGAGTTTAAATGTATTTGGCTAAGGTGTATTTAAACTTCAACTTCAACTGTACATACTGCATGTCTGTTTAACCCCTTTCAGAGACTATATGCCTTAATAACCACATTCACATACTGTATGTCTCTTTAACCCAATTCACATACTGTATGTCTGTTTAACCCCATTTACATACTGTAAGTCTGTTTAACCCCATTCACATACTGTATGTGTGAACCCGTCAGATGAGTCAACATTGATAAATATCTGAACTTGTAAAACTTGTATTCACAGAGTGCATGTAGAATCTGTAAAATGGGAAACTTTGCATTGCCGCTATAATCCACCCAGTCAGAACAGTTTCTCTCTCTTTTTCCTCCCACACTTGTTTCACTTCCGGTGAAATGCTTCTTGTCAGTTGAAATGGGTGAAGGGGTGTCAGAAAGGGGGTTTCCCATCTCCTGCTCAAATCTCTAAAGACCCACCAAACAGCAACAGCCAACAGCTGTCTGCTGTTTTGAAAAGCAGCTCAACCTCTGTTTTCTGCCTGCCTCACATCACTGTTTTGTTAGACTTCAGTGCAGCTTTTGACATTATCGATCATAGCCTGTTCCTGGAAAAGCGTATGTGTTATGGCTTTACAACCCCTGCTATATTGTGGATAAAGAGTTACCTGTCTAACAGAACACAGAGGGTGTTCTTTAATGGAAGCCTCCCCAACATAATCCAGATAGTATCAGGAATTTTCAGTAAAGCCAGTGTGTCTATGTATGCGGACGACTCAACACCATACACGTCAGCTACCACAGCGACTGAAATGACAGCAACACTTAACAAAGAGCTGCAGTTAGTTTCAGAATGGGTGGCAAGGAATAAGTTAGTCCTAAATATTTCTAAAACTAAAAGCATTGTATTTGGGTCAAAAAATGTACTAAACCCTAAGTATGTCTATAATAAAGCGCTGCTCTGCATTGTTAACAGCACTATCAACAAGGCAGGTCCTACAGGCCCTAGTTTTGTTGCACCTGGACTACTGTTCAGTCGTGTGGTCAGGTGCCACAAAGAGGGACTTGCAATTGGCTCAAAACAGGGCAGCACGGCTGGCCCTTGGATGTACACAGAGAGCTAACATTAATAATATGCATGTCAATCTCTCCTGGCTCAAAGTGGAGGAGAGATGGACTTCATCAAAACTTGTATTTGTCAGAGGTATTGACATGTTGAATGCACCGAGCTGTCTGTTTGAACTACTGGCACACATGCATACCCCACAAGACACGCCACCAGAGGTCTATTCACAGTCCCCAAGTCAAGAACAGACTATGGGAGGCGCACAGTACTACATAGAGCCATGACTACATGGAACTCTATTCCACATCAAGTAACTCATGCAAGCAATAGAATCAGATTTAAAAAACAGATGGAACAGCGGGGACTGTGAAGCAACACAAACATAGACACATGCATACAAACACAAGATAACATATGCACTATACAAACATGTCACATGGATTTTTTTGTTATAGATATGTGGCAGCAGCTAATGGGGATCCATAATAAATACAAATACAAATGCTTTGTCAATAACAGTTGACAATGTCAGTGACTGCTTTAATTGACTCCTCAGAGTTAACTATAGTGAAGAAACATGGTATTTCAAAAAAAGGCTCCAGACATACTGTTTACAAAGGGTTTATAGACATATTGCATGACTCCCCACAATCTGTAGTGCTAAACAAACCCTTCTGTGTGTCACACAGTGTCCTCAGTTTGTGGACCATGTCAATCAGATTTCACTTCCAAATCACCCAGAGAAGGAAACATAGTGTTCAGGCTGCAGTTCAGTCCTCCCTCCAGTAGGGACAAATCTGATAAAGCCGTCAGGAGTGGGAAGGATTCACCTATGCATGTAGGCAGGTGGGAAAAGGTTACTGAGTCCTCCAAGTTTACCACTGTTTCTATGTGGAGATTGTTCTTTTTATAGCTGGAGCATGTAGATTCCATCTCGCATATGTCACCTGTGAGATTGCTGCAGTGTAGCTGCTCCTCTGTAAAACTAAACAGACCTACAGACTGTCCATCAACACTCCTCTCATAGTGTCTTCTTGTCTGGCACCAAACACATTGGCTTGTCCCTAAACAAACGCATGCCATGTGACCAGACCTGTATCCCACAGCAGGATCAGCCATAACTGTTTCGCATGAGATTTGTTGAAAACTCTGCTCTGTCTCAAACACATGGGCGTCCACTGAAGAGGGGCTCTGGCTCCGGTAGCCATCCCCTGTGACCATTACCATCTCAGGCAAGATTCCACAGTCCTCCCCCTGTAGACTCCCAGAACACCCTGACCGGCAGCCCAGCCCCACCCCACTGTCCTCTTTTAGGCTGATGTCTGTGTTCATCTTCCCATCCAGCAGGGGGGGCTCTCCAGTTCCACTCCTGCTGCTGACGGCACTCTCTGGTGCTCCCAGGCTTCCACAGCCACTGTCTTCTTGCCTTGCCGGACTTCCTCTGTTTCCATTCCCAGAAATGTGGGATTCAGAGCAAGTCCCACTGTCCAGACTCATTCTTCTGTCCTCTCCTTCTTCCTGCTCTTCCTTGCCTGCTGGAGTAGTCCTCTCGTCAGCCAACCAGACCATGACATCAGTTCTGGCGGTGCTGATGAACCAGCCTTTGTCTGTGACGATCTCCACTGGGACTTCTCCCACACAGAGAGGCTGCCAGCCGCTGCCTGGGGATTGCTGATGTTAAAGAGGACAAAAAAACACATGAATCCCCAAAGAGCTAGCTCCTAGAATGACGAAGTGATTGATAACAGGAAATAGAATGACAATAGGCCCTTAGTTTTGAAAAAGATAATCAGGGTTAAACAGACCGTTTATATAAAGACTTCTTAAAAGCCTGATGTTTCCCCATCTGTGGTTGCAGGAATTGAATATACTGTGGTAGAACAAAGCACCACTGAACTTCTCTACTGAGCCATTTACTTTATGTTCGTATTCTTATATTTGATTATTTCTTATCGGTGTTGCATTGTAGAGAAGGAACCGGCAAGTAAGCATTTCGTTGAATGATGTATACCATGCGTATCCCGTACATATGACTAATTAAACCTGACACTTGAAACTTATATCTATTGTGTTGGTTTCTTTTTTGCACTTTTAGAATACAGCGTTTTTGGCCTTTCCCTGAAGTGTCCTTTCCCTGAAGTGATAGACATAGTCAGTTCTGAATTAGTGAAACTGTTCAAAGACCCTTACCAGTGCAACAGGCATTTTCTCAGGATGCCTCAGGAAGCAGCAAAGGCTAAGGGCCAGGATGACCAGTACCCCCAACACACTTAGGATGGAGAAGGACACCACAGCAAGGATATCCCACTCTGTTGAGAAACAGAACATGTGTTTAGCTGAATGAGTTTAAGGCAGTTAATAAGACTCTAGACATTAGGCTGGTGTATGTTGAGCCTTATATGGCCATGTAGAGCTGTGTAGTCTGAGTTGTATTACCTTGCTCAGGCAGCAGGAGGCACTGTTCAGGGGAGAACTCACTGGTGAATTCTCCTCCATTGCCTGCAACATTGAGGCTGACACAGTACTCCTGACCCCAGTGAAGAGACGTGAACTGAACCTCTGCCTTATCCTCGTCATATTCATCCTTCAATTGCCGAATGATGGTCTGCAATCCAATAAATGAAAATGTCAGTCAATACAGAAACATGAACATATGAACTAGGATGAATCACATGTCATAATATATTTTATTACATTAGAAGCACTGTTACCGGTATGTTTTTAAACTACATATGATCAGTGTCTTACTGTCCTTTACCTTGTGGTCCTGCCCTTTTTCCTGTAGGTAGATAGTGTAAGTCAGGCCAAATGGAAAGATCTTTTTTAGTAATGGCTTCCTGTCAACACTGACTGTTATTGAACTGGAGGTGGCCAACAGTGTACTGGAGGGATGCTGCAGTTTACCTGGAAGAACAGCGGTAGAGGAGAAAGGTAAGCAATGGACAAGTTTTGGCAGTGTGTAACTAGAAACTAGAAAGAAATTAGCAAATTTCTGAAAGCAAACCTATTCAACTCGGCCACTAAAACTTAGCTGTACTTGACTTACTTTCTTTGAGGTTGAACTTCTTCCGTGGTGACCATGCAGAGATGCTGTTCTCGGTGACCAGTCGAACCCGGAACTTGTAGACCATGACGAAGTCATCGATAAGGTAGGACAGGTCACAATGTGCCAGCTGGGTCCTGTCACAGCTGGTCACATTGGTCCAATTACTATCGACATACCTGAGGAAAGACACGTGAAAGTAGCTAGATGAAATATAATACTTTCTTCAAAGATGAGGAGAGGGTGGTATAGATGAATGATTGAAAAGGATAAAGGTGATAGAGTGGATTGTCACGAACGTCGGATATAGAGGACCAAGGCGCAGCGTGGAAGGTGAACATACTTATTTATTAAATGATACACGAACAAAACAACAAATCGATACTTGACGTCCACAGGTGCAAAACACAAACCAACACGGAACAAGATCCCACAAACACTGTGGGAAAACCACCTGACTAAATATGGTTCCCAATCAGAGACAACCAGCAACAGCTGATACTCGTTGCCTCTGATTGAGAACCACTCTGGCCAACATAGATATACAAAACTAGACTAGACACAACGAGCACAAAACATAAACTCTACACACCCTGGCTCAACTTAAAAGAGTCCCTAGAGCCAGGGCGTGACATGGATAGGGAGGACTCCGAGATGGATGCATGCTGAAGTGAGGTAGCTAAGTGACAGGTCTGAGAATGAAGGGATGAGTAAATTAGGCGGAAATAAGGAGTGTGGGGTATACCTGGCAATCTGCACCTGGTACTGAGCCACTGGCGGGGCCCCTTCAGGGGGGTCCCAGAGAAACCTTACTTTCCCGTCCCATATATCCACCTTCAGATTGACTGGCTTCAGTAGGTCTTTACCTGTAACAATTATAACATTCCAAATGTTAAAGAATTTCTAGGCATTTTTTATGAGATTTTGAAAGGACAAATCATTTATAGGAAGCCTGGGTGTCCAGAAGAGCAATAAGTAGTTGGAGGGTTTCCGAAAGAGGACTGCGTTTCATCAGGGTTTTCTAAACCAGTTTCGCTATGAACTGTCACAATGTTTACAGTTGACGCATGACAATATTTGCTAAAATTCCAATTATTTACTACTAATTGTCTGTGGTTATTATTGATACATCGTCAAATTATAACTATATCATAGGATGTCAATAGAACGACACATTTTCTCTGTTGACTCAAGTTAACTAGATTAACATTGTCTAATCATTTAATTATCGATAACAATCCGAACTTAGTTTATATTTTATGTATATGGGCATTACACTTTTAGATCAATGTGTGTCTTGAAACATGTTCCATTTTGATAGGAAGGACACATACACACTGAGAAATGTACAATATGCTACCTCAAACACTTTTGAAAGCTAGACCACAATGTACACTTCTAAGTGCACTTTCTACTCAGTAACAATAAAAAACAGTCAATGACAAAATAACAGTAAAGTAGAGCCATTTTATATATACAGTATACTGTATATATATATATATATATTTAATTATATATGCTGTTTATATAATGTTCTTACATTTAGAGAGTCTATTGTGAGAACTAAACAGCGTTAACCAGCAATTTTGAATAAATTATTAAAGCTTTCATTACCTGACACATAGTTTGAGATGATCAGGAGAATGGAAATCAAGAATTTCCAATCCATGTCCAATATAGGCTCTGATCCTTAGATAATCAGCATCATACTGTAGATATTGTCCACACACTTCTGGCGTTCCTTATCACTTCGTTCGATCTGTGTGACAGTGTGAGGAGACTGTGTGTTTATTTCCCCACATGACCTCATACCCCTCCCTCTCTCACTCTGCTGACAACGGGCTTCCTGTTCCTGTTTTGTCACTCCCTTCCTCCTTTCTGACAGCCCATCTCTCTTTCCATCTCTCTTTCCATCTCTCCTTATAGACCAAGGGGGTTTTATTCACTGCTTGGGAGGTATCATCCATTTGTACATACAGTTGAAGTCGGAAGTTTACATACACCTTAGCCAAATATATTTAAACTCTGTTTTTCACAATTCCTGACATTTAATCCTAGTAAAAATGCCATGTCTTAGGTCAGTTAGGATCCCCACTTCATTTTAAGAATGTGAAATGTCAGAATAATAGTAGAGAGAATGATTTATTTCAGCTTTCATTTCTTTCATCACATTCCCAATGGGACAGAAGTTTACATACACTCAACTAGTATTTGGTAGCATTGCCTTTAAATTGTTTAACTTGGGTCAAAGGTTTCGGGTAGTCTTCCACAAGCTTCCCACAATAAGTTGGGTGAATTTTGGCCCATTCCTCCTGACAGAGCTGGTGTAACTGAATCAGGTTTGTAGGCCTCCTTGCTCGCACACACTTTTTCAGTTCTACCCACAAATGTTCTATAGGATTGAGGTCAGGGCTTTGTGATGGCCACTCCAATACCTTGACTTTGTTGTCCTTTAGCCATTTTGAAACAACTTTGGAAGTATGCTTGGGGTCATTGTCCATTTGGAAGACCAATTTGCGACCAAGCTTTAACTTCCTGAATGATGTCTTGAGATGTTGCTTCAATATATCCACATAATTTTCCTTCCTCATGATGCCATCTATTTTGTGCAGTGCACCAGTCCCTCCTGCAGCAAAGCACCCCAACAGCATGATGCTGCCACCCCTGTGCTTCACGGTTGGGATGGTGTTCTTTGTCTTGCAAGCTCCCCCTTTTTCCTCCAAACATAATGATGGTCATTATGGCCAAGCAATTCTATTTTTGTTTCATCAGACCAGACGACAGTGTTGCTTTTTTATGGCGGTTTTGGAGCAGTGGCTTCTTCCTTGCTGAGCGGCCTTTCAGGTCATGTTGATATAGGACTTGTTTTACTGTGGATATAGATACTTTTGTACCTGTTTCCTCCAGCATCTTCACAAGGTCCTTTGCTGTTGTTCTGGGATTGATTTGCACTTTTCGCACCAAAGTACGTTCATCTCTAGGAGAAAGAACGCGTCTCCTTCCTTAGCACTATGACGGCTGCGTGGTACCTTGGTGTTTTAACTTGCGTACTATTATTTGTACAGATGAACGTGGTACCTTCAGGTGTTTGGAAATTGCTCCCAAGGATGAACCAGACTTGTGGTCTACATTTTTTTTCTGAGGTCTTGGCTGATTTCTTTTGATTTTCCCATGATGTCAAGCAAAGAGGCACTGAGTTTGAAGGTAGGCCTTGAAATACATCCAAAGGTACACCTCCAATTGACTCAAATGATGTCAATGGGCCCCGTGTAGCTCAGTTGGCAGAGCATGGCGCTTGCAACGCCAGGGTTGTGGGTTCGATTCCAACTGGGGGCCAGTATGAAAAAAAATGTATGCACTCACTAACTGTAAGTCACTCTGAATAAGAGTGTCTGTTAAATGACTAAAATGTAAATGTAAATTACCTATCTAAAGCCATGACATCATTTTCTGGAATTTTCCAAGCTGTTAAAAGGCACAGTCAACTTAGTGTATGTAAACTTCTGACCCACTGGAATTGTGATACAGTGAATTATAAGTGAAATAATCTGTCTGTAAACAATTGTTGGAAAAATTACTTGTGTCATGCACAAAGTAGATGTCGTAACTGACTTGCCAAAACTATAGTTTGTTAACAAGATATTTGGGGAGTGGTTGAAAAACTAGTTTTAGTGACTCCAACCTACAGTGAGGGAAAAAAGTATTTGATCCCCTGCTGATTTTGTACATTTGCCCACTGACAAAGAAATGATCAGTCTATAATTATATATAAACAAAAAAATTCAGAAAAACTCATGTGAAAAATGTTATACATTTATTTGCATTTTAATGAGGGAAATAAGTATTTGACCCCCTCTCAATCAGAAAGATTTCTGGCTCGCAGGTGTCTTTTATACAGGTAACGAGCTGAGATTAGGAGCACACTCTTAAAGGGAGTGCTCCTAATCTCAGTTTGTTACCTGTATAAAAGACACCTGTCCACAGAAGCAATCAATCAATAAGATTCCAAACTCTCCACCATGGCCAAGACCAAAGAGCTCTCCAAGTATGTCAGGGACAAGATTGTAGACATACACAAGGCTGGAATGGGCTACAAGACCATCTCCAAGCAGCTTGGTGAGAAGGTGACAACAGTTGGTGCGATTATTCACAAATAGAAGAAACACAAAATAACTGTCAATCTCCCTCAGCCTGGGGCTCCATGCAAGATCTCACCTCGTGGAGTTGCAATGATAATGAGAACGATGAGGAATCAGCCCAGAACTACACGGGAGGATCTTGTCAATGATCAAGGCAGCTGGGACCATAGTCAAGAAAACAATTGGTAACACACTACGCCGTGAAGGACTGAAATCCTGCAGCGCCCGCAAAGTCCCCCTGCTCAAGAAAGCACATATACATGCCCGTCTGAAGTTTGCCAATGAACATCTGAATGATTCAGAGGAGAACTGGGTGAAAGTGTTGTGGTCAGATGAGACCAAAATGGAGCTCTTTGCCATCAACTCAACTTGCCGTGTTTAGAGGAGGAGGAATGCTGCCTATGACCCCAAGAACACCATCCCCACCGTCAAACATGGAGGTGGAAACATTATGCTTTGGGGGTGTTTTTCTGCTAAGGGGACAGGACAACTTCACCGCATCAAAGGGACGATGGACGGGGCCATGTACCGTCAAATCTTGGGTGAGAACCTCCTTCCCTCAGCCAGGGCATTGAAAATGGGTCGTGGATGGGTATTCCAGCATGACAATGACCCAAAACACACGGCCAAGGCAACAAAGGAGTGGCTTAAGAAGAAGCACATTAAGGTCCTGGAGTGGCCTAGCCAGTCTCCAGACCTTAATCCCATAGAACATATGTGGAGGGAGCTGATTGTTCGAGTTGCGAAACGTCAGCCTCGAAACCTTAATGACTTGGAGAAGATCTGCAAAGAGGAGTGGGACAAAATCCCTCCTGGATGTGTGCAAACCTGGTGGCCAACTACAAGGAACGTCTGACCTCTGTGATTGCCAACAAGGGTTTTGCCACCAAGTACTAAGTCATGTTTTGTAGAGGGGTCAATTACTTATTTCCCTCAATAAAATGCAAATCAATTCATAACATTTTTGTCATGCGTTTTTCTGGATTCTGTCTCTCACTGTTCAAATAAACCTACCATTAAATTTATAGACTGATCATTCCTTTGTCAGTGGGCAAACGTACAAAATCAGCAGGGGATCAAATACTTTTTTCCCTCACTGTATGTGTATGTAAACTTCCGACTTCAACTGTAGATATTTATTGTAGAGATATTTATTTGCTCATATTTATCTGAGCAGGTATGCGTGTGTGGGTCTGTTTGTGTGTGTGCATGTGTGTTTCAGTTGTCTTACTTTACCACTGTAATATAACATAGGGGTTCAAATGCAGTATGTCTCAATGTTCAATTCATGTGAAATTGTTTTGGCAAGTGTTTGTCATGAACATCGCACACCCAGTTTATTTCTCAATCACTGGAATAATGGATTTATAAAGGAGCTCCAAAATATATCTGTCTGTTCCATGACTGTCCATCTCAATACTGTAGAAGTATGCAGAAGGATAGCTTTTATTCAAAAGCATAGTCTACATCAACTGGCACTCATCATAGATTTTCACAGGAGGCCATTTCAATTTGAGGTTGTGGAATAAATTAAATAAAAAGCAAAACATGTTGTATTTTCTGTATTAGGGAAGCAGTGTGTTCATTATGCATAAAATGGGTCTCATCGAGTCTCATTTGGCAGTCATGCCCTCTCTGGCCCTTAATCTGAGGATGAAGAACATGACCACAGCTCTGTGCATTTCCATTCAAGTCGATTTGAGAGTTGCTACTTGGGTTGATTATGCTCTCTCTCAGGGGGTGTAGTATTCCCTAAGTCCACATGGTTGGGCCCTTATGCAATAAAACTGTACCTGATGCATTTGAACAAGTAAAAATCAGGTTGGGTTTTTTGGCGAATTTGTCTCTCTGATCTAACCCACTACCGCTCCTTGAGCTGTGTCCCCTCAAGGGGCGCAAACTGCTCCTAGACCTATCCACTCAGCACCCCAACAACACTTCAGCATCCAGAGTCATACACCAAAATGCTTATAAGGGTGAGTTTAACTCAGTTATGGTTTTACTTCCTCAAACAAATAGATTATTTGGGCCCTTCAGGGGGATTTCAGTTTCTACATGCTAACCCTTGTCACTTCTGTTTTCTAGTCATGCTTTTGATTCTGAGAAATCAGTTTCTCTCTTCTGTACATTATCAGAAAACACAGACTTCACATCCTCTCTCTGACGATAGCCTGTGCGATCTCGCACTCCATAGCCGATGTAAATAAGACCTTTAAACAGGTTAACATTCGCAAGGCCGCAGGGGCTAGACGGACTACCAGGACGCACAGCAAGCGCTGACCAGCTGGTGGGTGTCTTCACTGACATGTTCAACCTCTCCCTGACACGGTCTGTAATACAAACTTGTTTCAAGCAGACCACCATAGTCCCCGTGCCCAAGAACGCCAAGGTAACCTGCCTAAATGACCATCACCCCATAGCACACACATCAATAACCATTTAATGCTTTAAAGGGCTGGTCATGGCTCACATCATTGCTCACCATCAACCCAGACACCCTGGACCCACTCCAATTTGCATAGCGCCACAACAGATCCACAGATGATGCAATCTCTATTGCACTCCATACTGCCCTCTCACACCTGAACAAAAGGAAAACAATGTAAGAAGGCTGTTCATTGGCTACAACACAGCATTCATCACCATAG